AAATTAGTTTTATAGAAACAATCCTCTTTTCCTACTCATACCATTGACATAAACAGATTGGAATCAAATACAAATAACTTTTTGGTAAGCAAAAAATTCAACTTACAAACATACTAGCTGTCAAATGTCAGCATGTCAATAATGTGGCCAGCAACCACTGTTTTACCAAGGGAATAAAGGGCATCAGCTAATTTGATGTGTTGACTAGTGAAGATCAGTTCAGTTTCTACTTTATTTTGAAAGCTTATTTTCCCCTAAGAAAGATACTGAAGTTGAACCAAAGAAAAATTAGTCCCCTGAAGGAGGGGCTCCAGTTAAAAGCTAGCATCGCTAGCAAGGGCTAAACCTTGTTCAGAGTGTAGACCTAAGGCAGTACATGTTTGCTTGACCAGATGATGTGTTTAGATCTAATTCAGTACCTCTTAACTTTCTCCACAAGAGGAACAAAAATTAAGATTCAGCACCAATGAAGCCTTGATCCACAACAGCTTATTAACAGCTAATTCTGTGCCGGCTACCTTAGGAAGGAGCATTCAGATGTAAGAGCATTAGGGGAAAGAGCATATAATGCCATTTCTCTCTCATCTACTGTGACTTACAGCTAGGTAACTTTTCCTTTTCTTAGGTTTCTGAAGCTAGAGAGTAATTAATTCAGTGTGATTATGCAGGTGAGACAACAATAATTAAAATAAATTAAAATATGTCTACAAATTATTTAAGTAATCTCAGAATCCATTCTGTAATAACCAGCAAGTGGGGGAAAATCTTATTTGTATTAGAAATGAAAAAATTGCTAAAGAGGTTGCAAAAGATAAGGTTTACTTTAAACAAATGAGGATTCAACAATTTAATCTATTAGACCAATGTTAACTACCCAAGCCACTAAAATCCTTAGAATATCAATACATTTACATGATAATATTTGCCAAACTTGTTACAAACTGCTGTGCTCCTTCTATCTTTCCACTGAAACATCAACTACTGGATAACTGCCAGGACTTCTCTTCTAGTATTCTGCTTCAGAAAACCATCTAAAGAAATGTAAGAAGCAGCTATAATCTAAACACCCCAAAAGAATATGCAAAATTGCAATAAAGACAAATACCAAGAGAAGTGTTCTGAGATCTCTGCATTAAAAGTCATAATATTCTTGCTAATAATAAGTATTTACTACTCAGGTGAATAAATGTTTACAAAGAAGTAAATAAAGCTCAGGTGGTCAACAAATTCTAATGAAAAGATAAGAGATGATGGGGGGGTGGGATGAATTGGGAGATTGGGATTGACATATATACACTATTGATACTATGTATAAAATAGATAACTAATGAGAACATACTGTATAGCACAGGGAACTTTACTCAATGCTCTGTAGTGACCTAAATGGGAAGGAAAACCAAAAAAGAGGGGATATATGTATACATATGACTGATTCACTTTGCTGTACAGCAAGAAACTAACACAACATTGTTAAGCAACTATACTCCAATAAAAATTAAAAATAAAAAAAAGAGATAATGGAGAAAAATACTTCTTTAATTATTATTAACATTATATAGCCAGGGGCAGATGGTGTAACATAATAATGGCACAAATAAACATGCCACTTAAAAGTAAATATTTTAAAACTGGAAATTTAATAATTATGAAAAACCGTTAAGAAAAAATTTTATAACTAGAAGTAATGAGAAAAAATGGAAACAATAGCATTTATGTGCTAGTTTTGTCAAGGGAGAATAACTTAAGAAAGATGGTTAACATTAAAACAGGACTCTTCACAGAAGACATCCCAATTTTTCTATACTAATAAAATTTCTTTTTTATTATTATTATTTATTTATTTAATTTTTGGCTGCATTGGGTCTTTTGTTGCTGCCCGCGGGCTTTTCTCCAGTTGCAGTGAGCGGGGGCTACTCTTTGTTGTGGTGTGCAGGCTTCTCACTGGGTGGCTTCTCTTGTTGCACAGCATGGGATCTAGGCGTGCGGGCTCAGTAGCTGTGGCTCACGGGCTCTAGAGAGCAGGGTCAGTAGTTGTGGCGCATGAGTTTAGTTGCTCCACGGCATGTGGGATCTTCCCGGACCAGGGCTCGAACCTGTGTCCCCTGCATTGGCAGGCGGATTCCTAACCACTGCGCCACGAGGGAAGCCCTAATAGAATTTCTTATATCAGAATAACTCAGAGTATGTGGCTTATTAAATACAACTATAATTTATATGTAAATATTTAAAATAAATATGCTCCTTTATCTATGATTTAAAAAAAACTTCTACTATTAATTGGGTTTCCTAGAATGATCCAATGAGGAATACTGTGTTCTATACATGACATTATTTTCCCTCTGCAAGTGAATGACCTTATATATAATGTCCTTTATAGTTTCTTTATATCAGATCCTACTAGGAATATGGTGTCTTCCTTGAGTTACAGCACAAAAATTATTCCAAAATATGTAGATTTTATATACAAGTATTTAACACCCTGAATGACAAATTAGTTTCTTAGCATAAGATGCTCTGCCACATAATTAGCAGCCCTGGAAGAAACAAGTTCCTTTATAAAGAGAGCCAAGCAACCAGGTCTTAAAGCAGAATTTTTGGGTCAGGCATGGTGGCTTATTAAAGTATCTCAGACAGACGGCATCTATTAGGACAAAGTGATTCTCAAAAACTCATATACAATCATAAATAAGCATTTAATTTATGCCTTAAATTTTGCCTTAAAAAACACCGTTTTTCACCTAGTCATGTATAATAGCCATCTTCCAGTTCTCCACTTACTTCCAGAACTCACCCATCCCTCACACAGCTCAGACCATTCTCTTGTTAAAACATAAATCAGATCATGGCATTAACCTCTTCATACTTAAATCCCTATTTCTCTTGACCCCATAGTCTATCACTCTTTCTCTCCTCACTATAAGTACATTAGACTTCTTCTAGGTCTTCCAAAGCAATTTGTTCCTGCCTTAAGGCCTTTGCAGCACATATTAGTCCCTCTGCCTGGAATACATGGCCCTGAAATTTTCACTAACTGGCTCCTTCGTGTGATTTGGGTCTCAATTAAAACATCACCTTATCAAAGGTGATTTCCTTTGATGGTGATTTCACTTACTCTAGAACAGCCCTCTGAGCCAGTGTCTATCATATCACATCACCCTAATTTGGTGTTTTCATATCACCTAAATGCCTGACGTTATCCTGTTTTCTAATTTGCTTACTTTGTTTGTTGTCACTACTATATTAGCTCCAAGAGAACAAAGAACTTGTCTGTCCTGTTTATTACAGAATCTCTAGGGCCCAGCACAACACCTACAGAGCCACTTAACATAACTGAGTAAGTAAATTACTTTAACCAGAATTTTCTCAAACCATAAGCTGTAGTCTCTGACCTAGAGTATATTCATATAAATTTGGGGCAGGATACTGTTTGTAAAGTTTTATGAATAAGATGAAACTGTGCACTTTCCATTGGTATGATAATTAGTTACTTTGGGTTACACAATTCAGTCTGGAAGTAGAAGCTAAGCTTGGCACTTTCCTGGTTTTACAACTGTGAGAACTGAAGTCAGAAAGTAAAATGTAAGTATTAATAAACATTTAATAATGAAAAAAATTAATGAAAAAACTATATGTCAAAAAAATCCACGGAACAGTTTAAATCTCAAGGTACATACAGGACTATTAACAACTGTCATAAACAGCATGTAATCAAGAAACATTTGTTTAATGGATCATAAGATCTTGATTACATAAGTATAGTTCAGTAGATGTAAAGCAGAACCTATATTTTGTTTTAATGCAATACATTTTTGTTTAACTTTTTATATTAGATTCACAGTCTTCATATTTAGCCTTGTAAGCAAAGCCTTTACTTTCCTAGTGAAGTAAATTCTCAATATAGCTCTTTGTTGCATTTTACCGGTTATATGTATTATCTCCACAGGAGACAATGATCTCAGGTAAAAAAATTTGATCAGCATTTTCCCACTTTACAGAGATGCAACATATGGAAGTGAAAATATCAGCAGCAGAAATCATCTATAGACTGCTCAATTATGTTTCTATTCCTGTAGGTACATGAAAATAGCAAGCATCACTATCAAGATGTGGGGGGAAAAAAAATCGGGCTGTCAGCTTAACAGAAATTATGCAGGTTTAAATTCTATGCTGTACAATGTCCATTATCTATCTATAGTAGCTCCTTTCTAATGCTCTAAGGCTTTTTAAATCATTAAGAAAGAAAAATGTTTAATCCCCTTTTCCATAAATCCAAGTTGTTATCAATACTTTGGACAGGAAGCAAGCATATTCAGCTTTTTTACATTGCTTTTTCAAATGTATCATCTCAAATGGAAAGTAGGGGTCAGTAATAGCCACATTCTAGTATATCATCAATCTGTCACTGGAATTCAGTTCCATGTCCAGAGAATAAATGACAGTAGAATACTGAAGAATGGATTAAGTCCAGCTGATACAGAGTTACCATGAATGAAGTAATGAGAAAAAAGAACTATGATAACAACATACAGAATATCCAATACATTTGTTTCAAAATCACAGTATAGCAGGTAACAGTAAGAAGCAATAATGCTAACAGACTAATCTAAAACTAAAAAGATCAGAACCAAGTTACATAATGAAGTGATGTTATTAATAGATATTTTAGATAGTACTATATATAGTAAAAGGGATGTCTAAATCTGTATTACTGATGTTTAGATACAGGTCTACTATTAACAAAGTAATACAATAAAACGTAATAAAAATATCACAGATGCTAACTTCTCTTTACTGAACATGTAACCTTGGACAAATCACTAATCTTCCTGGATGGGTTTCCTCATTTGCAAAAATGAAGGTAATAATGCTGCCTTCAATAATTATATCTCTTAACATTACAGTGAGGGCTCAACAAGACAATGAATATGAAAGAATCTTACAAAGTCTAAAACCCTACAAAAATAGTAGCTATATTGTGGGGAAGGAAAAGCTAAATTTACCTTTATATGTTCTAAAACAGCAGTGGCAACATTTGTATGGAGATCAATAAGTCTTTTTTTTTCAAGGAGTTCTGGCAAAGAACTACAAGTATCAAAAAATTGAAAATTAACCATTAAATTCTCTAAGGAAATGACATAAATTTTAATAAAACACACACCTGGTTGCTTCCTCTGAGGATACTTGGAACAGTAAAACAGGGACAAAATTACATGTTAAACTATCAACTGAACTTAATCTCCAGGCTTGAACACATACAGTATTTACCACTTTAATACAGTTGAAATGCTTCTTATTTTAAAATAACCTGCCTCCCAAATATCATTATTCTACCATTTAACTTTCTGATTCCAAAATTTGGAGGTTTAGAATAAAATCAGATTAATGTGAGATTTCTAAAACACGAAACTCTTTCTCCTTGATGGCATTTAAAGTATGAAAAAGATACCGCTTAAACTTTAGCTAATAAAGTAATAGCAGCAATGATAAAATTAACAATAACTCACCTTACTTTATCAGCGATACTATCTCGGTGGCAAAATTACCCCCATTATACAATTCTAACTAGTAAAAGGAACAAATGATCTGCTATATGAAAAGGAGGGAACTTAAATCAGCTTGAACATATTAAAAACACAATTTAGTTCTTTAGTCTAAAGGTATATGCTATTACTATTATTTCCTATCATGAAAAATATTAATCAATTTTTTAACCTCCAAAATAAATTCTTATCAACAGAAAGATTTCAAAGAGGATAAACTGCCTACTTACCTAACGGCTGATGTTAACTTAGCAGTATTGTCAGACAGCATACTTATGGCTCCTTCATCTTCCCCTTCTAGTCCCTGGAAGGAAAAAACGGTCCCAGTAACTACTCAGAAATCCCAAGCCCAAGCATGAAAATCAATATATTCCTAAGATCACTGATAAACAGTATGATTCTGGTCACCCAGGATAATAATTCTTCCCTTCTAAGGAGCAAGCATCTGCATTTTTGACAGTTATAGAAAAGTTCTAGTCACCACCAATCTAATGAATGGTTGGATGACTAAAAAAAGGACCAGCTGGCATTTTCAGATAAAGAAATAGGCCCAGAGACTTCCCTGGTGGCACAGTGGTTAAGAATCCACCTGCCTATGCAGGGGACACGGGTTCAAGCCCTGGTCCAGGAAGATCCCACATGCCGCGGAGCAACTAAGCCCATGCGCCACAACTACTGAGCCTGCGCTCTAGAGCCCGCGAGCCACAACTACTGAACCCACGTGCCATGACTACTGAAGCCCATGCGCCTAGAGCCCGTGTTCCATAACAAGAGAAGCCACCACAATGAGAAGCCCGTGCGCTGCAACAGAGTAGTCCCTGCTCGCCATAACTAGAGGAAGCCCATGCACAGCCAAAAATAAATAAATTTATTAAAAAAAAGAAAAGAGAAGTAGGCCCAGAGACTTGCCACAGGTCACACAGTAATTAACAGTACAGCTGAAATTTGAAGCTAGATCAAAAATATAGTAAAATGAGCAGCACCGGAACATATATCTCTAAAATATACTCACATTATATATTTTTTCAAATCATAAATTCATATTATTTTTTTTAAAGAGTCCACTCTTCTCCTTAGAACTTAGATTTCTTTTTAAAAAAGATCTTTTATGTAAGTTGGGAATATATTTTTTTGTTATTAAAGCAATGAATGGCCTTGAATTTTTGTAAGGAAAAAAAGTTAACCTCTTTCCCCCTCCAGATGTCCTTCTGCTTCCCTATATTTCCAAGAAAGTAAACAGAATCTTACCATAATGCTTTTAAGTCGTTTAACCTCATCTTCCTGTGCTCTGTAAGACTCTAGTTCTTGCTGAACTGATTCTGCAACTTCTGGGAATGGACTGAAACAGTATTGCACAAGAGGAACTATAAGTATGAGATTAGAAGATTGATTTTTGTGTGAATTTTGAAATATATACAATGAGGATTTATTATTATTTCAAATGTATTCATTTAAATTTGAATGTATATTATATATAACACAGGCAGAAAACATTTAGGATAAATACTACTATATATCCTTGTGATATCTATTTACATTGTAAATACTATTTCTTTAAAATGCATAATACTTATATATATAAACAAATTTAAATTTTATTTCTATTCTTTTCATTAACTGTATCATTTTCTCTTCACCTATACATTATTAGAAAAAATAAAAAGATATTTAAGTGACTGAAAAACAAAGTAAGAGAAACCACAGTATATCAAACATCAATTAAATATTACCAGGCAAATTAACATATAGTGTCAAAGGGTCCATGTAACTACAAAGATGTACTAAAAAATATTACATGCTGTGAAAAAAACTGTAACTGTGAAAAAAATCTTTTAATTTTGTAAATTCAATATCTAGACCACCATTGGTAAAAATAGAACATGGGCCCAGTTTTTGTTTGTTTGTTTGTTTTGTTTTTATTAATTTTTACTGGAGTATAGTTGCTTTACAATGTTGTGTTAGTTTCTGCTGCATAATAAAGTGAATCAGCTATATGTATATATATATCCCCATATCCCTTCCCTCTTGCATCTCCCTCCCACCCTCCCTATCCCACCCCTCTAGGTGGTCACAAAGCACCGAGCTGATCTCCCTGTGCTATAACATGAGTATTTTTCATCTACAGCCTTAGGGGAGGCCAGCTTCTTCTCCTTTAAGAAAGAAAGGGTCACGTCCCCCTTCCTCCACGCTGACACTTGATAACACTTCACTAATGATCAGCACAGAAATGACAAAAGCTCCTGAAAGGATTTTGAGAAACACAGTCCAGTTTTACATGACAACTGCAGGCCCTAACGGAGGTCCAGCAGAGTCTATGTTGTCAGAAAACAGCAGTGAGCAGGTAAAATGTGCTGGTTGAACTAAATGATCCTTAAAATCTCTAGTGTCTTTAGGTCTCAGGGCTAACAGACGATAATAACTGCTTGTATTTATTGAGTGCTGACTGTATGACAAACACTATGCTAAGAATCTGTCTCTATTGTCTCATTTAATTCTGACCACAGTCTTGGTGGGGTACATATACACTACTGCCAGCTAAGACCAGGGACTTTAGAATCTGCCAGAACTGGTTTTTATACCTGGTTTTACCAATGAAAGCTGGATGATTTGGGGCAAGTTACTTTACATTATGTCAATCTTCACAACAACCTGAAATAGGACAATAGGTAGAAGTATCATCCCACATTTCACTGATGAGGAAAATGAAGCTCAGAGAGATTTAAGTAGCTTGTTTAACTCTATGCTGTCTCCCAGCATCTGTGCCCACATTGATATTGTAGCATGACATTCAGAGTGAGGGCTATTCCTACCTAACAAACAAAAAGTTAAAGTTCTTACTATTCAACTGACCTCTTAAGTTGTTCCTAAACATATGGTCTAAAGAAAATATTCAAAATTTCCATATATGAATAAAGAAATTGTTTTCTTAAGCTTTTGTTTTTCTATTAGGGAATGTGAAATTTAAAATTAACTTTAAAATATCCTGCATCCTCTATAAATAATGTAAATTCTTATACTTTACCATTCTAAAAGGAAATGTAGACTATATATAGGATTCCAAAGAGAAGAAAATAATTTAAAATACCCAAAATTGCATTAGTCAGAGAGAGAAAGATAGTGACTTTTCATTGCAGAGAAACTACAATTCTTTGTTATAGCAATGTGATTTTCCAGTGTTTAAAAAAAAAGGTTATAAATAAAAAAAGATAAAGCATACAAAAAAACCAATTGTATTGAACCAAGTCTATATCCTACTTCTCTTTAAACATAAATGAGACCAAAAAGAACAGCCATATCAGGGAGATATACATATATATATACAGACAGATAGATACAGTAACTGTTGAAATAGTCCAGATTACAATAAATAACATTGTATTTCCATAATTGTTGATGAGCAACATTCTTTTTCTCTCAGAGGAATGATTTTTTTGTTTGTTTTTTAGAATGATTCCTCTAGCCATAATGACCACTAGATAACTTTTATAGCAGTTACTAAGCTCATGAAGTACCTCAACTTTAAGGGGTCATAGCAACACATGGATCTGCATATCTACCTATAATAAATCACATGGCAAATTGTTAAAATTTTTTTACCTATTATTTCTAATGTACTTTGAATAAATCTTGTTTTCAGGCTTAGGTATTTTCTCCACAGATATCTAAAATTGGGTTTGTATGAAGGCAAACATGGAACAAAAAAGGAAAATCACACTTTCATGTTTCCCTATCACAAAAACCAATTTTAATGAAAGGTAGAAATGGTGCTGCAGAGGGTCAATGGGGATAGAAATGAAATTGAGAAAGACTATCTGTAAAATCTATAAAATCATATGGTGTGAACTTATTGAAAAGGGAAGTGGCTCCCACAAAACAACTAACAAAAGCAACATAAGAACTAGGAAATTAAACAATAAAGACAGAGCTCCATAGACTATTTAATTACAGGTCTTATTCATGGTGTAGATGAACCACTGTGACCTGTTTTGGTTTTTTTTTTATAAACCCATTAAGTCATATGACATCTGCATATCTTTTTAGGGGGTGAATCTTTTACTTATTGTTTTTCTTATTTACCTTCCTTTATGTTTCTGCCAAAATTTATCAACTGGAGTTAAATCATAAGACTTCTTGTTTTTTCTCTTTGGTCTAGCACCAGCTGGGGAATTCTCCACTCCTGAAGACTCTTCCAAATTAACTCTGTTCAAGTGGAAATCCTAGGAAAAAGTAATTCTGTTTTAAATAACAGTTTTCTGAATTTAAGAACATTGCCTACAATTAGAAATATAACACAGATTCTTACTGCCTTTTCTACTATTTCCAAGGACAAAATACAGATCTGAAACTAAAAGACCTCCTTCCAATGTTTCGTTACATAAAGGTACCTTTAATTGTTTATGTATTTTAATTTAGTAGTAGATACATATGATTACAATTTCAGAAAGCCCATAAAACCATGTTTAGGTTCTTGTGTATCCTTCTAGAAAAATATTTTTGTATATGTCAGCAAACATATCCTTTAAATTTTAAAGAATGGGATTACATTATACATACTTTGTACTTTAATCTTCTCATTTAATAATGTATCAATATTTTGAGCTCTTCCTGTATTTGAATATGCATATCTACCTCATTTTTATCATGTCTACATAATAGACAAATATTTGGCTACATTTATTTGACCACGTCTCTTGATGCTTAATTGTTTCCAGTAACAAACATAACCTTAAATGTAATTTTTAAACTCTTAGAGAGTCTTAACAGTCTGACCTGTTACTTGATGGATTGCATTAAAAAAAAAATTACAACAGAAGCTACAATAATAACAGCACTCCCTTTCAAATAAATGCTAAGAGCCAGTCATACTAATAGCTGCTAAGCTTTTCTGCGTAGACATAATTTTACTCACGTGAGGCTTGATTTTTTTTGCCCTTTCCCAAAAAACAAACATACAAAAAAACAAAAGTGAGCTATCTTTTCTATTCTTTCTCCCTCCTTCTTGCATTAGACTTGTGGGTTCCTTTATGTAATAGCAGTATTTTATGGTTCAACTCTACTCTGAAGAATAGTGAGCTAGAGATAAAATATGGATATCAATAAGCAAATGAATGATGAGCAAAAGAAATTATATGGAGAAATTATCTAGCATGACTGTGATACAATCATCTTCGTTCAAAGATATAAGTTCTTAATGATTAAACTTCTAGGTCTTAGCAAATTAAATGTACCGAATATAATTTAATTTCCTCTTGACAGGAAAAGATCATTAATACTGAGATTGGATCCTTAGACCATACCCTGTAACTTTCTCAAATAAATCCTTTACAATAGCTTACTTCCTTGTCATTTTCCCCCATGACATAAAAAAAAAGAGTGCAAAATATATAGATGTCTAACTGCCAGTAGAGTAACAAGCCTCTTGACAAAGAAGAGCGCACTATATTGTATTTCAACCTGTCAGTATTATGTCTTTCCTATGGGCTCCTTATATTATCATAGGATAAACATAACATAATATAACCCTATTTAATCCCTTTTCCCATCCCATACCTTAACCTCACCTTGGCACAGCAAATCATCCATATAGGAAGAAAGTACAATAAACAGGTGTTAACAGCTACATCTGAGAAGAACCTTTGTTTTTAAAAGTTATCTAACAAAACAAAGATACTGAAGAAAAGAAACATTTTTAAATAGTTAAGCTTTATTAACTAGAATTTCTAGTGAAGTACTATTTCCGTGGTGATGACACACAGCTCATTCAAAACACAAGTAACTTGTTAGCAAAATTACTGCTCTAAAAATAGGACAGCATGTTAATACCTAAGTATTGATGGAATACTTAAAACACAAAATGATAAAGGAATCAAAGATGTTAAGAGTTTTCAGAAATAACATAATAGCGGCAAGAAACGTTCCCCTTGTTTGCACTAATAGCCAGGCAAATAAGGAAAAATAATTTCAGTCTTGAAAATTGGGAAATCAGAACATTCTGTGCTGTACTCAATCATGTTAAAGGAACTGAAGACATGGGTATAGAAGACAACAGAATTAGTTTTCACATGGTAAAGTCTAATCTATTTCCACTGATATTCACACTTTCCTGACTTAGAAAACTGGACAATGGTGTGCCAAATCACCAGATATAAGTAAATCCCACTGGGAAAACATGGGTAAGTCTTCAGCAGTCTTGTTTTCCTTCCATGAGTTAAAGCAGACCAGGGGAGGCAGACAGAGCTAATATTAACAAAGTTACATTTGGGTAATATAGGTTAACACCTATTTATGCAGAGCTAAGATTTATATTCACATGAGAAAAAAAGCCAAACAAAGTAAAAGTAACGTTTATTTTGGCAAGGAATTGCGCCAAATCTAATTAAGTCTCTAGATCAATCAGTTTACAGGAAATACTGGAAAAAGAGAAATAATGTCAAATTGTACCCCACAAAGATACAATCAACCAAATGCAGAAATGTCATATATCTTTAAGAAAACGAGTTCTTCTAAAATGTTTTTCTAATAACCTTTTAAAAGTATATATTAACTTGGAAATGACTTCCTTTTCTCTTCTTGAGTGGCAAGAACAAAATAAACTTTACTAAAGTCCTTATGTAATTAGTACAGATTCTGATTTAATATTTTAAATAATGAGAGTCAGTAGCAGAGGGCCAAAGGCACAAACAAGGGCACCTAAGATTCAAAAAAACAAAGGCCAACTAAAGGACAAGACACGGCAATGAAATAATGTCCACCCTTTGCCTAAAACTACTCATTGCAGTTGAACAATCAAATCCACAGCCCCTGCAACCAAGACACGACAAAAAGGAATCACGACTTTCTAATTACTAATTTTGCTTCTTATATCCTGAGAAAAGGAAAGGGACACTGCAAAGTTTTTCATCAGAAGAGTGTATCTGCCATGTTAAAGGACAACAATCACCTTTCTGACACACAGAGAGGCTGTGTGAATTTTCACAGCAGTTTCCAGGGCCTGATATATAAATATTATCAATGTTCTGGATTTTCAGGCAAAGATATTTAATATAAAAAGCAAGCTCCAATTTCAAGTTAAACTTGAAACTCCCATCTACAACTTTTACTCCATCTTGTGGAGGTGGAGGGTATAACTATTAAGAATTTTGAAAGCTTGGAAGAAACCTCAAAAGCTGCAGTTTTAACAATCAACAAAAAATGGCTTGCTTACAGTTGGTTATGATATCTCAGTTGTAGTTTTTTCACATCTAGAAAGTATATTAAAATTAATGAACAGGATTAACTCAATATAAGCTGTATAGGTTGTTATAACCAATTTTCTCAGAGACTATTTTCACAAGACCTAAATATTTTAAAAATAATGTTACTGAGAAAAGACGGCTTAAAGGGTAATATGGAATCTGAGAACCTCGCCTAAGAAAGTTAACTAGAGATGTGCATTGCTCTATTATTTATAACAAAAAATAAAAAAAACAATAACCCAAATGTCCACAGGAATCCACTATTGTAACCTCCATGCAAGCAGGGATCATGTCTCCTTTGTTTACCTTGTATCCCAGTGACCAGCAGTGCCTGGTACAGCGGAGGCACTTAATAAATATTTGTTGAATTGAATTCCTTGGAAACACATGGTTTCCAACTTTTTATTCTGGGAAGTGAAGAAGATTAGAACAAAGCCCCCCAAACCCCTACCATATACTTTTACTGTCTTGTATTTTTAAAATAATATTTTAAATTCAAATAGTAGAAAATAAAAATTAGTATATCTCATAAGGATACAAGGTCAGTTGTAAAAACTCATTTCATATTCCTTATTATTCTCATTTCACTGTGCAATAGTAAAACCCTCAAAATCAGTATTAGCCTTGTCTAGTTTTGGGGAATGTCTGCCATAACCTGTGTTTCCCAATTTCTCTTCTGACAATGGGGACTCAGCATATTCCTTTACATTGCAATTACCTGTACACACATCTTATCGCCTGCACTCAAAGCATCATGTACTTTAATTTCCTCTAGGAACTCTTCAAGTTTAGGAATTAGAAAGGATCCCGGTATCTCGATGTGCTATATGGCCTCCACACACCACTGGCAGGAGTGAAGAGGTGACCCCTGATCTGTATGCTCTTACTAAGACCCCTGCTCCCACCCAACAGGCAGGGACCCACCAACCAAATCTAATTTGAGACTATCAAAACTAACTCATCATGCCACCCCTTTTCAGATTCCATCTCTCTTTCTTACTGGATTCCTGAAACCATTCTGCCTACCCTCTGGAACTCGTACTCAGCAAAATCTCCTATTCTGAACATCTACTCTCAACTTCCACTGAACACTTTCTTGCTCTAGTTGAACACCAACTGGCTATCTCCTGTAGCCTTCTCAGACCACAACCTCTTTTTTTTTTTTTTTTTTACACACATCTCAAACCACTGGACCCAGGATTGGGCTAGGTGTCTTCCTTGTTACTCCCAGACTCTTCACTTGTCCTCTTCCCTAAAACAACTCCAGCTTTGAAACTCCCATCATCAGCCTATAACCGTAATTCTTAATCAGAGACAATTTTACCCCTCTCTACCCCATGGGAATATTTGACAATGAAGACATTTTGGTTGTCCAGAACTAAGGGTTGCTACTGGTATCTAGAGAGTAGAGGTCAGGGATGCTGCTAAACATCCTACAATACACAGGACAGCCCCCTACAGCAAAGAATTATCAGGCCCAAAATGTCAATAATGCCAAGGTTGAGAAATCCTGGTCTGTAGTCATCCTGGTCACTAATGCCTCATACAGACCTGCAGGACACTCTTATCTCCACAACCAACTCTTCTCTTTTGATCATTCCCCAATAGGGAATACACAAACATGCTGTACTTTCTCTCATTTAAAAATCTTTTTTTGATTTCACATCCCCTTCCAGCAGTCACCCCTTATCTCAGCTCTCCTATACAGCAAAACTCTTTCAAGGTTTGTCTATATTCTCTCACCTATGCCACTTCTTCCAATCTATCTTATACCTACTTCAGTGTTTAACCCCTATACTACAGAAGCCACTTTTTTTAACATCTTTATTAGAGTACAATTGCTTTACAATGGTGTGTCAGTTTCTGCTTTATAACAAAGTGAATCAATTATACATATACATATGCCCCCATATCTCTTCCCTGTTGCATCTCCCTCTCTCCCACTCTCCCTATCCCACCCCTCCAGGTGGTCACAAAGCACG